CACGTCCAGACCAGCAGACCACACCGCCCTTGACTGTGGATGAGATTGCAGGCTCACGAGGTTCGAACGAGACTACCGTCTCACGTTCCGGTCGCCGAGTACGCTTACCCGTACGCTTTCGCGACTAACCTCATAACCAGCAGCGGATACAGTGTGTAACCAATTGTACCAGAGATTATTTTGCTGTATTTGTTTAACTGTATCAGTTCCACTTCTGCTTTCGCTCTCCGCCTTGCTTGGTTCGAACTTGCTCACGCACTGCCTTTTCGCCTGTACTCTCTGGCACGTCTCGGTATTATTTCGATACCACGAGATCGCCAATAAATACAATTGATCTGGATTAATAAAGTCTTCTGATTTACGAGCTATCAAAGAAGCCAAGTCGTTTTTGGGCGCTTAAACGAATTGTAGTGGTGATCATAGTCCGTCTTCGACTCGACATCCACTGCAATACTATGAACTGCACATCGTAGCACGGAATAGACGAACACTTTGCTCTAAAACTTCAAGTAGAGTTGAATTATTCCACTTGTCTGGTTAAATGCGAAATGCGAACTAAATTCATCGGAAAAAATACAATCATGTCATTTTCGCAGTTTGCCAGCGAAATAGAGATCACGAATCGCACATGTCTAACAAATTCATTTGAGATGTATTTCATTAAAAATCTTTGCTCAGTTAATGAAACCTGTCGCTCTCATGGAGACTAATTTCATGGCGAGACCCTCAATCAACTACTTTTTTCTCCTGCTACCAAGTACTATTCAAGGTTTTGATATCTGTCTCCCATTCCTGTTGACACGTGTTCTACGGTTTGCTTCTTCTCTTTCTCAATTACGGATTTCCGGTTATAACCTGCCTTATAATCCAATCAAGTGGCTCCCGTTAAGTGTGTCTTATCCGCCTCCGGCGTCTTTTCAACGGAACAAAACGTTCAGCAATTTTTTGGCCAACTTTAAAATTTGAAACATGTTTGAAATATGATGCCAGTTTCACTATTACCGACACGTTATGTTGTGACTATGAGTGGACCTTTTGTAACGACTCAACTCCCAGTATTCCTTCTGAACGCTCAACCAACGAACCGAAGTTTATTGAACTAGATCAAACTACGCTCTTCTGTATAGTGAGTGAAGCAATTTTTAAGTGACTCGTATTGATTTATATCAAAACACGAATTTCGTTTCCTATTTGAACTGTTTTGATTTGAGAAAGTAAGTAAATCATATCAGAAGTACAAAAGACATGTGCTTTACAGCCAAAGGTTTCACTAGCGCGAAATGATATGCTAAAGAGTAAAAGAAATGGCGGATAAATAAGAGTTTGATATCTGAGAATCAATAAAAATATTCTCAATAAGTCTGGATCGGATATCTACCTGAGTGAATTCCAGTAATCCATCCAAGTAGTCAGTCAAGGATTAATAATTGAACACTGAACCACGCCGTTACATTGAGCATGGTCAAACGCAATCTCATTGTTAAAAGTCCGGCAACGCGCAAACAGCATGGATAAGTAATATAAGGTAAATATTTATTCAAAGTCAAATAAAGAAGCCCAGGCAAGGAACCCCGCAGGACATAAAATATTGTTGAGAAAGACCTGAATAAAGGTTAGAATACAAGACAGGGATGAGAAATAAATAAAAAACAATACCGTTTGCTAAAATGCTAATAAAAGCTGAACCTACTGTATCAGCATTTTGTTCCTAGTGTTTTTAGCAGTGTATTTCCTCTCCTATATGATTGACTTTCGAAAGCAGTTTTCACTTCAGAGACCTCATTCATAAACCACCAACGTTTTTATTCTTCGTAAAGCAATTTATACGTATATACGGATGTGAGCTCGAACCCGCGGAGATATATATTGTTTTCTCTCTTTAACATTCGCATTTAATCATGTCACTGCACAAGTTGGCTGGACTAACAAAGCTAAAAGACACATGCCAGCATCTCCGAGTGGCAGGCATATGACCATCATGACCGCCAGTAAAAATTTATGGGTATTTGTAAACAAATACGAAAGCAAGATACTCCAGATCCGTTGTCTAGAGGCCATCGGCGAAAACTCACTCGGACACAAGAAAAACCAGCCGCCAGTCGGGGAGAAAATTAGAAAGTGTGGGTGTATGGAAAAACTTTTGCAAGTCATCAAACTCTATAACAAAGTAGACCCCAACTTGTAATCATCAGGAAAAAATAGAAATAAATAAAGCGAGGATCACACGTCGCTGAAAATTGGAGGCAGACGTCAAGAAACATGAAAAGCGCTTTACAAGAATCTTCACGTTTGTTGCAAACCTTTAGTTGTCTGCCTAATATCCAGGAGGAATAAAAAAATCAGTGAATAATCAAATACAGTATTCAGCTTGATATCAACCAATATGAGCACAATAATTAGCACAAATGTGATAATTAGTTGTGGTCAGGTTAACATGCTAACTCGTAATTCCAAGGACTATCCAATTCATACTTGAGTAGTCAAGTATGGGTCAGTATTGAAGTCAGAGAGAACCGGGTGAGCACAGTAAAGGGTATTGTGTCTCTAAATCGGGTCAGGTGCGAAATAATATCCAAAGACATTGTTACCATATTCCAAAACATCACGACATACCACGCCACATTTAGTCATCATTGCAAAAGTTTGATCAAAGACCATTCCTTCTGATGTATCTAAGCTGCGACCAACACCTGGAGATTGCTCTTCTTCTCCTATCCATGAACCCCTCCCTCTGAGATGACTTAGTACAATTTATAGTGTGCTATAAAAGCGTCAGTGATGTCAGTTAACAATCATGAAGATAGCACCAGTATTGTAGTTTGAAAACTCTTTACCAGTAAGACCTTCTATGATCGAATCGTGCCCACCCAGTTAAAATCAGAAGTCAGAAGCGAAGAGGTTGGAAGATATATTTGATGCGTTATCAATATATCGAGAAGTGACTGATCTAATCAGACTAATGATCGTAGGAGATGTTTCACACACTGTGCTGTAACTTGCTCTGGTACGGATGCATGATCGAGCGCCTTCAGCTAAACAGGTTCACTAAAACTAATGTGGTCGGCATCCAATGTCGAACACTTACAAAGCTATTTATTTTAGGGAATTATTTACAGCTACAAGCTACGATGGAAGCCTGTATTGGGGGTACGAACTCGGCTAGGGTAGAAGCCACGTAACTGCGTGCTACAAATCCGTTTCTTGAAACAAAAGAGAGAAGACAAGCGGCTAACTTTTAATCACCAACGATCTTTAAATATTCGCAGCGCGGAAACAAGCATATTCATACTAGTCACTGCCACTGAAATCAATTGCAGTTTATAAGTCTGCGGATTAATTAGAAAACAGTTAATTATAAATTGCAAAATGTTACGAAGTGAAATGATTCTGATTAAGGAAGCTGGATTTATAATCCAGAAACTCGTTCTTTAAATTCTAGAAAGCACTATAGGAATGTGAAGTGTTTTAAAACGCCAATAACTTGAGCATATTCCTTTTTTGTCTACTAATCCTATGGTTAAATGTCAACATTTTAGCCATAGAGTGACTCTGTAGTGGAATGTACTAAATTATCTTAGTAATATATCAAAGCTAAAACGACCAGCAACATGAATCTGAGAAATAGCATGCATGAGAGAATAACCTTAGTTTCACTAAATGGTCGCTTTGCACCCAATTATAGAGAGCTGGGGACAAAAAGTTATCTTCTATACAAGAATGTATGAATTGAATTCATTGCTCTCATAACCAACGTTTGCTGATCATGGAAACCTTCCTATCTCATTTTTTGATGCTAGGATATTTTAGGGTGATTGTTGAATAAATTATTATGTTCTACTCAGGGCTCTCTGTTTCATATCTAACTACAAACACTATTTCTTCAAGTGAAGTGTTATAAGCATATCAAATGGTTACAGTTTATGGGCCGATGGTTAGATATCGATGCAGTGTTGTAAATTACGTTTTCGGATAAAGTATTAGTAATCAGAAAAATATGATTATTGATAGGTGTATAAGGAAGCAGACGGAATGATGCGGAGATGTAATACCTAGCAATAAGACAATTGGCAACGAGATAAACACAGTGCTGAGTTAATAAAATAAATATGAAAGCAATAAACTAGTGGGACATTGGCAAGAAGCTAATGACATCAATTAAGGGTTGATAGTGTTTTAGGTTATCTGCCTGAGTGATAGTTTGAAGGCTCAACAAATATGAGACGTGTGAGCAAAATTATCTGCAACTCAAAATGCAAGGAAATGAGACATATGTACATATAATGACTTGGAGACTTAGTCTTTGTTAAAATATAGTGATAAGATGTTAATAAAAAGAAGTGCTGCATTTCGCCAGATAAAACCGTTAAGAACGAGTTGCCTCGAGGTGTGGTACCTAGCCGTGGGTGCTTAAGCATCATCTAATTAGATGATCACACAGCACACTAACCCTATTATTAATGGTAAACTTATCATTAGGTTCAGTAAATTAAGGTAAGATAGTTGAATATCAGATGAAAATGGTAAATTATTGCAAAGTTTTCGGTATTCAAAAGTAAAGTAATTAAAGCTTAATGGTGAGTGGTACTTTATAAGCTTGAATGTAACTTCAGTGCTACGATGCTTGTATTTAAAGCGGGATTTACCGATGAAATTTTATTTTGAGGAGTGCACTAACTTACATAGTATTCTGAATACGAATTTAAAATAAAGCTTTTCTCCTACAAAACCGAGTTTCTAAAGATGTGTAGATAGCGTGGAGTCTTGATTGACTTTGATCACCACTACAATGAGATTACGCGCCCAAACTCGACTTGGTCCCTTTGATAACACGCAAATCAGAAGACTGTAACTGGTCAGATGGAGTATATTTATTAGCAGTCTCGTGGTATCGAACGAATACCGAGACGCGCCAAAAATTACAGGCATTAAGAGCAAAGTGTAAGAAAGTTCGGACCAACAAGATGGATAGCGGAACGAGAAGTGACTTTGATACAGTAAAACAACAACGAGTACGATAAAACAATAACTGGTACAATTGGTTATAATAACAATTGTTTCCACCGCACCCATCGCATTCTCGTCCAGAAAAGCAGGTCACCACATATGAAACAGTTCAAATACGACCCACAAAACTTTTAAGTCGATTCTCTTCAAACCAAATCGGCCTTCAGTCTGCCAGCTTAATAAACATTACCGTCAAGATGAGGGCAGTGTTCCAAAATACATCTTACACAACTTTTTTACAAAAATACTTTAGATTCAGCCGTAGTAAAGTTTACATAGACAAATCCCATACGTCTTTTCGCTCTGGAAGTCTCAGAGCCGACATAATCGGAAAGACTGAAAGTTGAAGAGTATTAAGTGTTTATATCTTGCACTGAATAAAGAATATGCATTTGTTGATTATTTAAAGTGATGTAGATAAACGCGTTATGTCATTTCGGACATAACAAACCTCAGTTTCGCTGACGTAACAACATTTATGGAACTGACATATCTTTAATTATTCTTCACTGAAGTATCTATACTATGCGAGGAATATTATACAACTATGAGTCAGTCAACGAAGAAGGAAGGCATGTCATGTTTTACTAGGTTATTTAGAAGACAAATATCGCTAAGACAATTTTGCAGACAGATTGAATAGTAACCCAGTATCGATCCAAAAGTCTAGAACTAAAAACTACTTCATTAAGTGATTCAAACGCTTTTTACTCACTCAGAAGTTATCATATCTTCTCAAATAACATAAACAACAGATTAACTGGATACAAAAATGTCCTATGGAGGTAGAACCTTATCTATCCAATCTACATCTAGTTGAAGCAAAAGCCCTTAAAGATGACACAGGTAATCAGGATTCTACAATGCTTTTGTTTGTAGCATCTTTATAGTTTGAAGAAATCAACCCAGGTAAACGAGAAGTCCGGGATAAACGCATTCGAAGATATATCTGTAAGGTTTTCGAGACGTAGAGAACTGTTTGATCTAATCTGGTTAGTAGTTGCGAGGGATGCGTAGCACGACGTGCTCACTCGGGATTTGAAGCGGATGCGCTATCAAGCGCTTACAGTTAAGGTGTGTTCAGTAAACCACTGAGGTCAGCATCAATGTCGAAGACTCACAGAGCTACTTATTTTGAGGATTCATTTTCCCCTACAGCCGGGCCGCCAAATTAGGTGATTTCAAGCTAAACAGTTACTGTGCATTGTAAATCCAACGTAAGATTAAATACTTTGCGCAGTCACACTATTCCTGTACTACTCCAGGATATCAACATCCACACTAAATCTCATGTAGCTAATGAATATGAGGTGACACCATTTTGAATTTGAAGTACGGACGGTGAATGTGATCATACTATCACCAGATTTTCGGTTGATACTTTACCTTTAATATTGTAACCAACAATTATAGGTATGGAAAGTGGCATACAGAACAAATGGTTTTTTTCATTTTTAGAGAATAGATGACACCATAATGCTTCAATAAAATTCCATGGTTTAACTTGTTTCAGTTACTATAACAATAGTAATAATTTCTCTTAAATTTATTTCGAAAACAATCAAATACATTTGATAGTATTGATTTTCCGGTCTAAAACCTTGCACTTGCAAATTTCGATATTTGAAGTTCACCATCCCACACTGGAATAGGCCTGTGACCAGTAGCTAACAGTTTTTGCCATGGGTGTCTGTTGTAGTCAGTTTCATCCGAATAAACAATATTATGCACAAGTTCGGTGAGCTGTTCCTCTGTTTTCTTATTCTTCTCTAATTCCCGTTCATTGTCAGCTATTAGTTGTTGATATCTAATTCGTTGATCAGCGATTTGTCGTTCTAAGCCGTTACGATACGTCAAAATATTCTGGCGTCGCAAGTGTAGCTCATGTTTGGAATCTAACTTCATTCTTTCAATGATTTTGTTAAGTTGTTTCCCTTCTTCTATGCGTTCCAGATTTTCTTCGTCGTGTTTTTTTCCTGGAAAGAAACAAATAATAATAACTTTGTACCTTACATAAGTACGTACAGTGACTGCTATGCAATGAATACTCACTTATCAGTTAGAAAACTGAGTACATGGTTTGTAATCATACTCTAAATGTGGTAGCCAGTTAAAATCCTTAGTTTCCCTAACAAAAGTAAACACAATTACTGTAAATGTACAAAAAAAACTTTCCAGTAATGAAGAGACGATTATTTGCGGTTTCGGTACCTGTGAATAATTTCGACTCAGTAGCTCGATTTTGAGTCAGAATCTTATAAGTCGGTTAGCTTGACTAACAATTCAAACCGCACCCCACCTTTAATGTATAACTAGCGGAAGTAAAATGTGAATGGCCATTAAGGACGAATAGACACTAAGATTGCCAACTATTTGATATGTGGTTCCCTTCCTTTTGGTAATTTGTACTATGCAATCACCGAATATAAACTTCGTATAATTGTATTGAGTAAAAAATTGTTTAGTTTATACTTTGACTTTCTACCTTTGACCGTAAATCGGGTTTCTGCTGTAACGTGATTCAATTTATGTATAGAGTATTAACCGAAAATCTGATGATAGTATGATCACATTCACCGTCCGTACTTCAAATTCAAAATGGTGTCACCTCATATTCATTAGCTACATGAGATTTAGTGTGGATGTTGATATCCTGGAGTAGTACAGGAATAGTGTGACTGCGCAAAGTATTTAATCTTACGTTGGATTTACAATGCACAGTAACTGTTTAGCTTGAAATCACCTAATTTGGCGGCCCGGCTGTAGGGGAAAATGAATCCTCAAAATAAGTAGCTCTGTGAGTCTTCGACATTGATGCTGACCTCAGTGGTTTACTGAACACACCTTAACTGTAAGCGCTTGATAGCGCATCCGCTTCAAATCCCGAGTGAGCACGTCGTGCTACGCATCCCTCGCAACTACTAACCAGATTAGATCAAACAGTTCTCTACGTCTCGAAAACCTTACAGATATATCTTCGAATGCGTTTATCCCGGACTTCTCGTTTACCTGGGTTGATTTCTTCAAACTATAAAGATGCTACAAACAAAAGCATTGTAGAATCCTGATTACCTGTGTCATCTTTACGGCTATTCTGCTTGTACAGGAAAATTCAGAAAGCGAATAAAATCTTGTCACTTAAACGTTTTACTTAGATATACAGAGCATGCAACTGGGCGAGAAGCAATCAGTTACGGCTTTCACCAGTACCATGGCTTGCAATGGTCAACCCTAGTTGTTTATAAATGACTTGAATGTAGCTCGTGAAACAGTTTTATCATTGATCAGTCCTTCAAGGTAGGGATAAGTTCAGCCCCACAAACAATTTGACAAAAGACCAGTGACATTTCACAGATCCCACAAACTGACCACTTGAGACAATCAGAAGAAAAATTGCATGCCTGTTTTTATTCATGAAATACGTGGAAGAAGTTTTATGACTGAAATTTGATACCTTTTAGTCAGATAATTAGTATAATCCGAGATCATAGTTTTTCATCTTTTGGTTATATTTTAACTGAATGCTAAACTAGTGAGGTCATTCATGTTTTTCAAAACAACGCATGAATCACCAGTACCCGGGACAATTAATTGTTTCATTTTCTCAAGGACTTAATGTTGAGTCGGCTTCCGGAGAACTCTAACAGAGCCTCCAGAGGCTCAAAAAGAGCCACAGCCAACCAGAGTACGATGGAACATTCTAGAGTTCCAACGTGGCGTAGCAATATATGTCGTTAATGGATTGGCTGAAATAGGATGTTGATTTAACATACGCTAACATCTATAAATACCTATGATTTTCTGTACGAAAACGAACATTGCAGTAAAGTGTTTCTCTCATACTCGTGTCTTCTCTCTGATGTTCAATTTGCTGAGTAGTTCTAGCCTGGGGTTATCAGAATAGCTTAGGATCTGAATATAGCATCCAACCTACAAGACGTATCACTTAACAAAAGAACTCAAATGTTTATCCGTTGGGATTATTATCCCTATTCAATGAAACCTGTGTCATTCGAGGCCCACTAGCATTACTTGTGCAATACGACTTGTAATCAACACGTTCCTTCCACCAGGCAGCTTGGAACTGATGACCATATCATGAAGTGGATGTCAATATTCGTTGGACTTAGTAAGGGTCTCAGGCTATTTTAACAAGTTCCTACACATTTACAAACATTCTAGGGATATTTCAAGGCACACAACAGACAAATTAACAAATATTTATGGAATACCATTTTGATAAATATATTAAAATACTATATAAAACAATACAACTAACTTTTTTCCATTATTTGTTGTCGACATACTTCGTTTACATTATTTTTCAAGTTTTCTCTAGCTACTAGAAGCTGTATTTTCTTGTGGTGATCAAGGTTTTGTTGCTTTGCAATACATTCGTCAATACTTCTGCTCATTTCTTTCTCAAAATTCTTTTCAGCTTCTTTTGAATCACGAACATGCTCTAAATACTGTAACGCCTCTTTCTTTAAAGTAACCTAAAAGTCGAATGATTGAATTAGTTTTTTCATTTGGGCCATTTAAAACCATGAAAAAAAAACCTTTTTTCATCAAATTTTATTTCTGATTACTTTCACATTGTCAGGTCAGCAATTTGTGGTCATACTTTAAAGAAAATAAAATGAAGAGGAAAAGAAATATTATCTCTCATTCAGCACGTTGTCTTCGGTAATGACATAGACTAGTTCGCTAACATACGAATTATGGCTTAGCATAACTTAATATTAAGAATATAAATTCTACTTCAATCAGTTGGTAGTTAACAGCATTCATTATGTTACGTTTTATGGTGGTCAGTTGTTTTGAGGCAAAGAAAATCACTGTGATGTACCTGTAAACTGAAAATTATTGGGGACATGTAGATATTACTTTCCAGTTTTGTTCACATCATGACACCACTTAAAAAGTAAGGTCCTCATGGGGTTTGCTGAAAGATTTTCTATTTGCCCAAGACATTGACCATACAGTATCTGGACTAAACATTAGAACACCGTTGACACCTAATTTCATGTTCCTCTCTGACTGAGATACAAAACGTCTGTGGTAATTACAAAGAATAAATAAATCAAGATAAAACGAATAGAATTGTCATAACACGCCAAAATTAGTAGTGTTTGACTACCAACTACGCTTAGTAGTGGATAATCAATGACAAACAAACGAATGAATTACGAACTGAATTTCCATGATCCTACAGTAGATGATCTCTAAAGGTCACTGAGTTGTTGAATTCAGAAACACAACACGGCAAGATTTTTGGCGTAGAAACATCCAGTTAATTTGCCAAGAAGGTAAGGTAATAAGTTCGACAGTTATGATGGGAATGGATCTGAGCTAACTATAAGAAAGTTAAAATCAATTCATGAAGTGTACACAATTAATGTGATGGTGATTTTAATTATTTCTTATTGGCGTACTCTGAAATTAAGCAATCACGATATAAAAGTTATTAGTCGATAGCTATATTTTTGGACGTTTAGTTCTAATATTGATTGAAGTACATAGTGCTATTACACATCGTTTATCAGAGAATTTTAAGTACATGCAGAGAGTTTTAATACAAGGTGCTTGACTATCTTTCCAATATACAAAAAATGTTTACCTGACAAAACACATCAGCAGCGTCTAAATGTTCTGCCGTCACCTCAGTGTTAAGTATTTATGAAATAAATTTATCTGTCTGTAAGTACAATCACTGCCTAGAATTTATGAAGCGAAATGAATGTTGCCAATCATTTAAATGTTATAGAAATAATGAAATACAACACCAAACATCACTAACGTTTAATTTTCCTAAACTTCGTGTGTTTTTAAAAATGTTATACTTTTTTGACACATTTAGTAACAAACGTTTTTGATTTATTATACCTTGTTCATACATACCTAAACAACTCTGTTATCCATTATCAATAAAAATATATAAAAATACATTTTCTGGAATACGTTACCTTGTCCCTCTGCTTTCCACTCCTCTCTTTATCTACTTGTTGATTTAAAAGGGTTAATAAATTGTTACACTGAGCTTCCTGGTTGCGTTCCTCTGATTTCCTTAATAGTTTTTCCTGTAAACACTTGTCCAGGTCCAATTTAATCTTAGAGAACCTTTGTTTTTTCTTTGTTGCTTCATCTTCTTTTTCTTGCATTAGTTGCTTATTTAATTCTTCCTGACAGGTTAAGACAAACAAAATACATTATTTCCAGAGGGATGCAACATTTATTTACTTCAGTGTACTCTGGATCGGAAATATTATATAGTAAATTATTTTAGCCGCTAATTCTACGAAAACCTCCGCCTGGAGCTTCTCTGGGGTTACTGCCGGTCCCAGGCCCGGATAAAGGAGAAGCGTTAAGTATGGGGTTAGCGACCCCATCCCGTGGAAAACTAACTCGCTAAAAGAACATTAACCAGAAAAACTAATTCAAACCATTTCAACTTTGCCCTGGGAGTTAGAAGGTCTTCATTTAAAAGAGTTATGACGTCTCATGATGAAAGCCGAGTTCTTTCATAAGTTATGGGGCTGATGCCCCTTCTGACAACCAGAGCAACCATTTATCTAGGTACATGGAGTGCTCGTACAACGTGGGAGACTAGGAGAGTCATCCGAATTACTGCAGAAATGAGGAAATACAACCTAGAGGTGCTTGGGGTCAGTGAAACACATTGGACACAGGTTGGACAACAAAGACTAGCTTCAGGAGAACTACTGATATACTCCGGCCATAAAGAAGATGCCCCACATACACAAGGTGTTGCACTGATGCTATCCAAACAAGCATGAAAACCACTTATAGGATGGGAATCTCATGGACCAAGGATCATCAAAGCCTCCTTAAAAAAAAGAGGGCATTACAATGAACGTCATCCAATGCTATGCGCCTATCAACGATTACAATTAAAACGTTAAAGATCAATTTTACGATAAGCAGCAGTCAATCGTCGAGAAATGCCCAACAAAGGACTTAAAAATTCTGATGGGAGACATAAATGTCAAGGTTGGAATGGACAACACCGGATATGAATATATAATGGGACGACATGGACTAGAAGAAAGGAACGAAAATGGTGAGAGATTTGCAAACCTATGTGCCTTCAATAAACTGATCATAGGCGGCACCATATTCCCACATAAACGCATAAACAAAGTCACATGGACTTCGCCGAATCATACTATACAGAGCCGAACCGACCATATCTGCATCAATAAAAAGTTCAGAAGGACGATGGAGGATGTTAGAACCAAGAGAGTAGCTGATATAGCCTCAAGTCATCACTTGCTGATGACCAAGATGAAACTGAAACACAAGAAGCACTGGATAACAGGGAGGACAACATCACAAAAGTATAAGACAGCTTTTATTCAAAATACTGACAGATTCAACGAATGCAAGATAGCCCTCAGCAACAGCCTTCAATGATCTACTCAATGGAGAGGAAACTACTATAGAGAACAACTGGAAAGGAATCAAGTAGGCAATCGCTTCAACATGTCAGGAGGTTCTGGGACACAAGGAATGGATCACTGTTGATACACTGCATAAGATTCAAGAAAGCAGGAACAAGAAGGCAGCATTCAATATCAGCCGAACAAGAACAGAAAAATCCAAGGCACATGCTGAATGCACAGAAGAAAACAAGCAAGTGAAGAGGAGCATCAGAGCCAACAAACGTAAATATGTGGAAGATCTAGTAACGGCCGCGGAAAGGGCTGTAAGAGAAGGAAACATGAGACAGTTGTATGATACAACAAAGAAACTCGCTGGAAATTACCGTAAATCAAAACGAACAATGAAAAGAAAGGAAGATAAAGTAATCACCAACATTGAAGAACAGCGAGACAGGTGGGTAGGACACTTCAAAGAACTCCTGGATCGACTATCTCCACTGAACCCACCCAACATCGAAGTAGCACCCACAGACCTCCCAATCGATGTTGCCCCACCAACAATTGAAGAGATCAGCATGGCCATCAGACAAATCAAGAGCGGCAAAGCAGCAGAACCAGGCAACATTCCAGCAGAAGCACTGAAAGGAGATGTAGCAGTAACTACAAAGATACTCTACATTCTTTTTAGCGAAATTTGTGATGTATAACAAGTACCAACTGACTGGAAAGAAAGACTTTTGATAGAAATGCCAAAGAAAAACGATCTCAGCAGGTGTGAGAATTACAGGAGCACCACTCTTTTCTCAATACCAGGAAAAATCTTCAACAGGGTGTTGTTAAACAGAACGAAGGACTCCGTAGACGCCCAACTTCAAGACCAACAGGCTGAATTCCGTGAGAATCGTTCGTGTACCGACCAAATCGCAACTCTATGAATCATTGTGGAACAATCAATGGAATGGAATTCATCACTATACACCAACTTCATTGACTACGAGAATGCATTTGATAGTGTGGACAGGACAACTCTATGGAGGCTTCTTCGACACTAAGGCGTGCCTGAGAAAATAGTCAATATCACACGGAATTCCTATGATGGATTACACTGCAAAATCGTGCATGGAGGACAACTCACCAACTCGTTCGAGGTAAAGACCGGTGTTAGGCAAGGTTGCTTACTCTCACCCTTTCTTTTTCTCCTGGTGATTGACTGGATTATTAAGACGTTAAGGTCTGGGGGGAAGAACGGGATACAATAGACAGCTAGGACGCAGCTGAACGATTTAGACTTCGTAGACGATCTGTCTCTTCTATCACACACGCAACAACAAATGCAGGAGAAGACGATCAATGTAGCAAAAGTCTCAGCAGCAGTAGGTCTCAATATAAACAAAGGGAAAAGCAAGACTCTCCGATAGAATACAACATGTATCAATGGAATCACACTTGACAGAGAAGCTTTGGATGATGTAAAAACGTTTACATATCTGGACAGTATCATTGATGAACAAGGTAGATCGGATAGAGATGTGAAGGCGATGATCGGCAAAGCAAGAGAAGCATATTTATAACTGAAGATTATCTGGAACTCAAAACAATCGTCAGCCAACACCAAGATCAGAATTTTCGAATCAAATGATAAGACAGTTCTACTGTATGGGGCGGAAACTTGAAGAACTACGAAACCTATCATCCAGAAGATACAAGTGCTTATTAGCAGTTGTCTACGCAAAATAATTCGGATCCGTTGTTCAGACACTATCAGCAACAACCTACTGTGGGAGAGAACAAACCGTATTCCAGTGGAGGAATAAATCAAGAAGAAGCACTGGAAGTGTATAGGACACACACTGAGGAAAGCACCCAATTGAGTCACAAGACAAGCCCTCACTTAGGATCCTTAACGCCAAAGGAGGAGAGGAAGACCAAAGAATACATTACGCCGAGAAATGGAGACAGACATTAGAAGAATGAACAATAATTGGATATAACTAGAGGAAGGCTCAAGATAGAGTGGGCTAGAGAATGCTGGTCGGCGACCTATGCTCCATCGGGGGTAACAGACGTAAGTAAGTCTGCGAAAATTCAGCTGGATTCTACACGGCTGCTCAGTACATAGTACAAGCTGACAACGTCATCAAAATAGTAAGCTACTGCATTGTAAACCAGTATAAAAGCCTAATATGACTCATAAATAATCTATAATGTTTATTTATTTATCAAGACAAACAGATCGTGCCCCATAATTTTGATTGGTAGACAGCATATTTTGAAATCATCGAGATTATTTGAATGTTCGACCGAATTTAAATAAGAAAATAAATAATCAACGAAAAGATCCTCTGGATCATTAGACAAAATTAAAACATTTCACTGTAGAAAATTTTCGCTTGAACGATATCATTTACAATAGCTGTACAATCGCTTTTACAGTTACATTCCACATATAGTGATCGATAGCAAAAATTGGGAATTATTAAGTCATTAAAAGAGATACTACGAGTTTATCGAAATTTAAAGGGAAACAGTCATCAAAATAAAATATAAAAAGGAGATACAAAAGGTTGTTCACTGAATGATTATAAAACTAAAAGTATGAACGAAAACGTGTCGAAAACAATTTATAAAATAAGCTATAGAACAAAGATGTGAAAGCTAATTTTCCACTTGGTGAATTTAGGGAGATAAAGAAGAAAACACACATCTATAAGTTCATTATATGTGAAAAAATTATATTTGAAATAGTCTCAGCGATTGAAATATAAATAATTCCAACGTTTCGTCCAGCTAACTTGTCTGGACTTCTTCAGGGAAATAATCAAAATCATCAAAGAAATATATAGTGTTTTTTTTAACAATCATAACAAAATCTCTACTACTTTAATCCAATCATATTTGGATGTCGAATTTTTTGTAAACAGGATAATATGAGTCAGTTGCATGAGAATCAAGTGAAAAGTTCACGAAAGTGAAATAAAAAGAAACTGAAATGAATTGTGTGTATGTGTAAGAATGAGTTATGAATGAATGATATCCCGAGTTAATATGGTTTTATATGAAGTAAAAATAAGAATAAAAGTGCAAATTGAAGGTTGAAAAGTTGTTTCGGAATCATCGAATTGCAAATAAACATCAAGTACATAATTGTAATGTTAAACATAACTCATGAGGAAACAACTATAGCCTAGTGCCGTTAATCTTGGTCAATGATATACTCTGGTCGTCCCAAGCCTTCAGTCCAAAGAGAAGACTGTAGACAAGCCTACACGTTGTATTTCAATAAACCAGCTCAGCAGCTACCTCAGGCACTCATTAGCCTATGTACATGACTAACTAGACCACATCACACCTTAACATAGAAAATCATAGCTATTTAACGAACTGGAAGAAAGTAGCCATGAACGGAGCAGACTATGAATAATTGACTAGTAATGATTTTGGAATAATAATAAAACACACAGTATTGGTTAGTGAATCAAACGGAATCTCACAGTAAACGAAATGTAGAAATATATTGGTCCAGTTACTTAGTACTTAGTACAAATTGTTTCACATTTGGATAAAGTCTTTGGACAATGAAAGTAGTGATATCTCAACTTTGGAAATAAATATATTCCCCAATCCAAATTGACTTTCTATACATCAATATTTGAAATGAACCTATCGGTCTTCTGATCTGGGAGTGAAATCTTGCATACATGTCTGACTAAAATATGAATATAATCGGTGGGTTGAATAATTTGAATTCTTATATATAGTTGAAATCATAAGTCAATTGAAGCTAGACCACCGTAGAAAACCTGGAAGCACTGGACGACCGTTTCGTCCTATTTTTGTTTACATAAATGACCCTCTGTAATAAATTATCTAAACCCGAATATTTAATCATTTTAAGTGCTACTAATGAATTGTAACGTATAAAGGACCTGAAATACGTAATTTGCACAAACAACTATTCTCAGGATGTTTGCTTACTAAATGTTGATATTCAATATACTTATAACTGATGAACCCTTATGAAAAATACTAATTTGCAAATATCTTTCGCACTGAGTGCTTAAATCTAATATGATGAACGCTCAACTATCTCTTTACTATGAACATAATTTCAACTGGATTTTTAAGAAACCCTTACCTAGTAAATGAAGTAATCAAACTGACATGTTGACTAAATGCTTATTTATAATAATAAAAATAGCTAATTTACCAGAGCGTTTGCTTGTTTCATCTTCTCCACCTTTTCTACAAGTTTCTCCTGCTCCTTTCTTTCTATCTGTTCTTTTAAAAAAATTGCGATCCGTCTGAAAATAAAAAAACTCAAAAACAAATTACTTTTTTCCTTCTACAATCACCTGTGCATCAGCTTCATTGAACATATCCTTTGAGTGAGTTAATACGAATTTATCTAAGTAGTCACTTTGGCGTTTCTCCAGAAGATTTTGTTTCTGTTTCATTTCAATTTGAATTAACAGATCACGGGCAATTTCATTAGCTCTACGTTTACTTAATTCCTGACGTAATTCAGCACATTCTTCACTGGTGAAAATTTTTGAAAAATTGAAAAATATTAAGTTCCTTACCAGGCTTAAACCATGATTAAGTAGTTCGAAGTAACGGGAAATAAATATTCATATCTGCAGCGATTTTTTAAAAACTTTACTTTGAAGAAACCACTCCAAAATTCACAAACTAGGTTTTTGGAAGATAGGAGTCGTAAATACAGATAAAGTTCAACAAACTTTCTTTATTCATTTTTCATTGACACTCTTTTTAAAATTATTTTATTTGTAAATTCCTCCCCCAATCTTAAGCTAAACTTGCTTGCCTGTTAGCAGGTGGCTTATTTTTAAGAAGTGATACTGTAAATATAACTTCTACTAGTTTGACATCAAAGAATATTTACCTATTTATTTTTACCATATAGTCATTTTAAAACAGATTTCTTGTTCTTCAAAAACACCGCTGAGTGTCTAGTGCCTCTTTATCTGACTCCAATTAGATCGTTTGCTGATTGTCATTGAAATATACATCCCAGCTACGATCGTATATAGTTATCGATATAATCCGCGTTAGGGGATAACAGAAATAAGTAAGCCCAATACAATAATGGATTCTGACATATATATTCTGCACTAATCCAATAGAATGTGTTCGCTTAGGCATTAAAAAATTGTCTATTGATGCCTAGTAAGGTGTTTGGATTTATTAAGCTTAATATGACAACTAGTGATGGGAATACAAGTGATTTTTAAGCGGGGAAACCTAGATGGGTCACCACATCATAAATCTTATCTGGAAAGTAAAATATTGCTTCAAACTTGTAGTAAGCTACCGAACGCTCTCCACAATGAATCCACTCGTAAGTTTGGAAAATTGTTTTTACTAACGACTGTATGACTTCAAGAGATAACGTGAACCTTCAAACAATACATAGAGGTCTCGCCACGTTTTAGGACTTCATTGGGGTACAATAACTGTACAACGGGTATAACAAGAAACTTTCGCTTCTTGCTGTGGTGTCGGTTACTAATTCTAGCTTCTGGACAGGTCAATTTATCCATTCTTCCCGAGTCACGTTTTGACCTTGTCGATTATTCGCTTATTATTCTTGATTTTTTTATATGTAAGCGTATGTGTGTGTATTGCCTATTGTATTGACTAACGCTTGATTAAGTTGGGTTGGCTCACACGCCTTCTCCACCGCGCGTCATTTCGCTTTGCTCTCTTCTCTTCGTTTCTTTGCTCATTTGTCTGAATCAACGATTGTATGAAATATACGTATTCGAAATTCATTCTCGTATTTGACTTATTTAATCCCGGTATTCACTAATGTGATCTAAGTCGATAACTATATACGAGGATGGCCGATATGTATATTTCAATAACATTCACATGATCCAATTGGAGTCAGACACCAGGTCACCAAATTGAAATGAGCTTAATACAAATCGATCAGATTTGGAATCCAACGCCCCTACATCCTTCAACTTTGGTCAATTAACAGCACAACTGAACCACTATTAGAAATCACTGGTACGTATCTGTCTTACTTTCCATTGATCAGACTCCACAGCTCAAGTTTTCTGATGGAAATTTCAGAATGTTTATCTCGAGAATATTCATTAACAACCACTGGGTCACTATCTTACATGCAGAGAGTTTTCAATTTGAAGGTAGTTTAACCTCTAAATATGGTTTGAATATGTGAAACGTGGTATTTATTTGAAGTAGTTAAAAATTATTATGCTCAATACGAAACCAAAGGACCCTGAGAACAATCACATTTGGAGCCATTAGCGTCTTGTACTCCGGGGTTTTAAAATGCCTCTAAGCTAATAAAACTGTCGTCCAAATAAGTTGTGCTTTGGTAAGCACTGAAAATTAGGAAACTGGCTTGAACATCTTAAAATCCTAATATGCTTCCTTTTATAAAATGGTCCAGATTCCAACAGCATAAATTAGTTGTCTCAACCCAATCACATTCAAGCCTAATCTTAGTAGCGCAGGTGTAATTGTGAAGTCTATTAACCCTCTTAGTTGGACCTCACGTTGATAGAGTTTTGTAAGATCATAGAAAAGTAGCCCCACATATAACAAATACAATACAAAGTATCCGAAGATACCCCTTAATACTTTCAATTTTCATTAACAGTTCATCTATATCGTATTTCATTTTATTCCTATTTCTTGGATGCCTCCCTAATTTAATCTGTTAACATGGTTAGCTTCAGAATTTAATTTTACATACCACTGATTTAGTACAAATATTTAATTTATATCATTGTTAGGAAGAACCTGAATTAGCCTTTTGTTGATAATTTTGACTAAACTTTGATCAGTCTTTGTTGATATATACATCCGGTGCTGAATGTCTTGACATAGGTATTCTCGCAGGTTTTTGTAGATTGTATGGACTTGAGGCTAACAGTAGAGTTCAAGACTCGCGTTTAATCCCATTTGAAATCCGTTAGCTATTTGTACATCTATTCTAGTGTTGTAGTTCGGACCAAGACTCAAACCTGGTACCTTTCGCATACAAAAACCCAAAATGATATTCGCTAAAAGTTTGAATACATGCCCGAGTTCTTAACAATCCTACTTTTGGTTTTTATACGAGCAACAAAATACATCAATAAATGTAGCACGAATTGAATTATTAAATACCTTTCACTTACCGAAGACGCTGGTCATACTTTTCAAGAGCAATTTTTTCATCTGCTTCTTTCTTCTGTTTTTCTAGCAATTCGGCTTGTGCCCTCATAGACTTCAGACGCTCAGCTTTTTCCTCACCTGCTGTTTTACACTCTTTTAGAATTGCTCTTTCATCGTTCATCAGTACAGTTTTTAAATGTTCTCTAGAAGTTTCAGAGTTGATATTATTTTATCCCTAACTGTAAATTTACTTTTTCTTACTAAGTTCTTCAGCTTCCTCGGATTTCGCCTTCTGATAGCGTCGAAGTGTCTCTGCATTGATTTGATTTTCAAGTTTGTCGTTTTCCCATTTAGCTAGTTCTTTCAATCTGTCTACATCGCCAATTGCTTTAGATAATTGGGATTTAAACTCGTTAATTTTATGTATTTTATTCCATAAATTGGCTGACATAGGTCCACTGTTATTTGTTTCAAGCTTTTATGCATAAGAATTGTAATGACAAGTAAAATATACTACGTTTTGAGAATTAAATGAGAATCGAACCTCCGGTAAAAAGATAAGACCTAAGGATTGTTAATCTTGACGAAGTTTTCTATTCAACAAACACTTTCTTAACAACTTCCATGTTAGTATTAATGTTATTTTTCTCTGATCAAATAAAACAATTTGGCTCGTTGAGATTCAGTTAAAATGATTCGTTAGGTTGTTTGCTATCAATCAGCTAACGAACTAAAATGACTGGTAAAGATATTTACCAGTCACTGATAAATATGGCTTTTCTAGAGTCAAAGAATAGTAATTTAAATGGTGGTTGCCGCATATGACGGAAATAATCTCATCCTCAGTATGTATTTGGCAAACGTTTACTATCCTTGTCCAGTTATCAACCAATCGATAGACAGTTCACATCATATTGCACTAGCTGCAGATTTGTGCACAAAATCCATCTCCACACTTGAGAGTGTGTTTTATTCGCCCAATCGATATTTTCCTCTTATTCCTATTTCCCTTAAATTCGAGGCTAGGTCAAATCGTCAACTTTCTATTTGACTATCTCAGTTTGGCGATCAATGTTCTTCGTGTATTCTTCATATCATAGTCCTTCGATTTTAGGTATGGATTTCGACAAATACTTATCCACCTTTTGAAAATATTAAAATGTGAACCCAGTCACACTCCTTTTAGAGACAGTCCTGTGATAAAACTCTGATTGTTGAGGTCCTTCCAATAAGTTTGTAAACGTCGCCAAAACTTCAGCAACAATTACGTCACCACTGATCTCTTCAACCCAAAATAACAGACTTCAAAAGATATAAGTATTAGGTGGTCTTTGAGTCGATCTAAAAGTGGGAACTGACAAAACTCCACTAAACCTATCATCTGACTTGTAATTCGGGCAGATATATTTACCTGACATGAATAAATGATTTTTGATCAGATCAGAAATGTCTTTATTCTTAGACTAGTGACTGTTACTTGGTAAAAAATTACAAACATTAATACGGGTTGATCAAACGGTAATTACGCACAGGGATTTCTTGCCTGGCTGCGTCACAGATACATATTTATAAAACTGCGCACGGACAAATTTCACTCAAAGAAACAGAGGAGAAAAGCCTGTGAGGTGTCGCTTTTGTTTCAAATGGTGTCTTAATGTGATTAATTTAATACGCTTTCTGTAAGCCTAATAACGCCTTAATTCTGGACAGACTATAAATCACCTATTGACTGATCATTATATTGATATATGAAACCTAGATATCACTGTTGTAAGAAAAACCCCAGAACTGACAAAACAGCCAACTTGTAGACCATAATTTCCAAACTTTCTCTAGACGTTTCCATATACCGAACATTTTGGGTCAGAGGCTGGTTTCCTCGGTCCATGGCATTTGAACAGCATGTACTGTTGATCTAACCTGTTTCGTCAAAATGTAATGCATTAAATTTACGGTCTCTGTGCTTTACAAGTTTGCAATTCCCTATTGATTCATGCCTCTTCTTTATTCAGCTCAAAGTTCTACTCACTAAGACATATTATTTATGCCTCATATGTAAATGTTTCATGGTGGTATTCATGTATCTCCAAAGATCGATTACTACTTAACCTCTTAACCCGCGATCAAATTTAAAGTGACTAAAATCATGTTTTAGATAAATGCGAATCAGTATCATCTCAATTAAAAAACCTAGTTCAAATGAGATCAGTGATAAGTAATAAAATCTGTTTAAAAATCAGTACCTAAACATTTAGTTTCTAACTCACACTCCCTTACCCTAATCATCAAGCTAAGGAATCCTTAGGTATTATACAGTAGTCACAGTTGGTTTTGTCTGTAAACCATCTATGTAAATTAATAAACCTTTAAAGACTACTCAGAATGCTCAAAATACAGTCAACAGTTTGACTTCTAAGAAATAAGTGTTGAAATCCATAATGTGTTAATGTGTTACTCAACCAAGTTATGCCCCAAAACATCTCCAGAGTCACCTTGCTAAAGGTGTATAGACTAGGAAACCTGGCGCGTCCGAGGCCTAATCAGTCTAGACTGCTCAAAGTCGTTTTCAAATCCCCAAACGAACGCGACTTAATCTTAGAAAATGGACACAAATTAAAGGGTTCAGGAGTCTTTCTCCGTAAGGACTTACCGTCGGTGGACCGTGTAAAAAGACGGGAAGCCGAAAAAGAACTACAGCTCAGATTAGACGCTGGCGAAAAAGACCTGAAAATTGTAAATTTTCGGGTTGTGAGGCTTCGACAGAGGATGATGCCGAAGCCACTCTGGGTGAAGCACGAGGCCACCTAAATAGGCTTCGGATCTGTTATACCAACGCCCGGAGCTTACTAAATAAGCTACCGGAACTAGGTGTACAGGTTGACTTAACTAGGCCAGACATAATCGCAGTCACAGAAACATGGCTGACGCCGTTTATAGATAGTAGGGGACTTGATTTCTGGGGTTTTACATTAGTAAGGGCCGATAGAATACAAACGCGTAAATGAGGGGGAGTAGCTCTATTCATTAGGAATGCTATTCCATTCACCATTATCGACAGTGTATCCCATGAGAGTGGGACGTATAAATTAGTTTGCTGCCGCCTGAAATGCAGGGGACAAGAGTTGCTGCTTAGTTTGGTCTATCGCAGTCCAAGCTGTAAGGTAAATGAGGTCCTGCTAAGCAGTCTCAACACTTTATCACGAAGTGATCGATGTCTAATCTTAGGGGACTTCAATGCACCCATGAAGGACTGGGGAAACCTGCGGACTGAATCGTCAGCAAATTCCTTCGAACAGGAACTAGTTGATGCGGTAATCACATGTGCCCTAGTGCAACACGTGAAGGAAGCAACTAGGTACGACCCGGGTTCTGCATCATCCCTACTAGATCTTATATTGACTCATTATGAGGATGACGTTGCAAACCTGGATTACATGCCACCCCTAGGCAAAAGTGATCATGCAGTTTTAAGCTTTGACTTCCATATAACAGTCGATCACGATCACGCCTCAGCTCAATCCAGACCTAACGTCTGGAAAGCCAACATACCAGACATCATGGAATCAGCATCATCAGTAGATTGGAAAATAGACCCAGAGTCATCAATCGAAACGGCTTGGGACGTATTCCGGAATTTATACTTAAAAGTTACCGCCCCCCACATCCCTTGGACTACACCTAAGGGACCGAGAAACTCCCCACCGTGGTTCAGTAGGGAGGTTCGCATCCTTATCCGTAAAAGAAGGAAAATGTGGGATAGATTAAGGTTACTGGGGACTGACGAGGCAAAATCTCAGTATCGAAAGGCTGGAAATACCTGTGACTCGACCCTCCGTAAGGACAGAAAGCTGTACAAAGAGAAAATCGTTAGGGAATCCATAGAATGCCCTAAACGCTTGTATTCGTATATAAACCAAAGGGCAAAAAGAAGAAATGTTCCTTCACTATGGGGAGACAGTACTGCCTCATCACTAGTGGAGGACGACTTTGACAAGGCTCAAGTATTCTCTAAATACTTTAGCAATGTATACACCATAGAAACACCCTTCTCACCAGTCCATGAAAATCCCCCCACACAAGCACTGAATAGCGTGACCATTAAAGAACTCGATGTCTTTGGTCTGCTAGTTAAGCTTGACATAGGTAAATCCACTGGACCCGATGAACTGCATCCTAGGTTACTAAAGGAATTAGCTAACTTTGTTGCGAACCCTTTAATTGTACGTTTTAATCTATCCGTAACCCAGGATAGTCTACCAAAAGACTGAAAGAACGCCATAGTAAGTTCAGTCTTCAAAACAGGTACAAAACATAAGCCTGAGAATTACCGACTAATTAGCCTAACTAGTGTGGTTGTTAAAATCTTAGAAAAGATTATTCGGAAGGAGCTGTTAAAGTATCTCGATGAAAACCGGATCCTCTCCGAAAAACAGCATGGTTTTAGAACAGGTTACTCTTGTCTCACAAACTTATTAGTCGCTCGTGAAAGCTGGTGCGCTCTTAAGGACCAAAAGTTACCTATAGACGTAGCTTACATCGATTTCAGCAAAGCTTTTGACAAAGTTCCGCCTAACCGGCTGTCACATAAGCTAAGGAATGTCGGGATTGGAGGCAATCTATTGATGTGGATAAAAGACTTCTTAGTTGGGCGTCAACAAAGGGTAAGCGTGAACTCCAAGTTGTCTAGCTGGGAAACCGTGCTTAGTGGAGTCCCCCAGGGTACAGTTTTGGGGCCAGTGTTATTCCTCCTATACGTAAATGATCTCCCTCGTCTACTATCGTCATCGGTCTTACCCTATGCTGACGATGTCAAGATATGGAGAGCGATACAAAGCAAGGGCGATAGCTTAGAACTTCAAAACGACCTGGAGAGATTATCTGAATGGTCCCAAACCTGGCAATTGCCGATAAACACTTCCAAGTGTATTGTGATGCATATTGGCCACCAGGGTACAGATACATACACGATAAATAACACTGAGTTACCTATTGTTCAGGCACACAATGACTTAGGCGTCATCGTCAGTCAAGACTTAAAGACTACTGCACACTGCCGTACAATAGCCGCCAAAGGTTTTAGGACTTTATGGTCCATACGCAGGGCTTTCAGGCATCTCGACGCTAAGACGTTTCTGACTTTGTATACAGTGTTCGTACGCCCTAAACTTGAGTACTGTATACAAGCAGCTAGCCCTTGCCTAAAAAAAGACAATGAACTCTTGGAAAGAGTTCAGAGAACAGCAACTAGGCTGATTCCAGGAATAGCGAAGCTCCCGTATGGTACTAGACTGACCAAGCTAAACCTATTCCCGCTGTCATATAGGAGAATCAGAGGCGACTTGATTACAGTTTTCAAATTGCTTAATGACAAATTTGCACCTGATGTGCCCTCATTTTTCTTGTCTTCCAAAACAGAAAATCTACGAGGACATTCCAAAAAAGTTCACAAGCCCAGAACGAATTACTTGTCAGCTGACTACCGACTTTCCCACCGAATAATCAACGAGTGAAATTCATTACCTCAGCACGTGGTTGAGGCTCCATCCGTCGACTCCTTCAAAAGGCAGTTGGATCAGCTGAGAGACCATCATCGTCAGGACTAACACAGGCCATCAAGCCTCCTGTCCTTTCCAAACTGAAACTGAAGAATGGTAACTTTACAAGTCTGAGGAATCTACTCCTCGAGAAACTTTCTTTATAAAGAGTTATGATAAACCAACTTCGTCGTCTGAACGTTTGTTCAGACACATGAAATTGACAAATAATCTCACACATACAAGTTATTCAGACAACTCTGGGGGACCCGTTGTTCTTTTGCGTTTGATATCTCTGTCACGAGTTTGTACAAACCAATTGTTTTCTTCGGGCTCTCCGCTTATTATTTGAGTACGGCTCCAGGTTTTCGATAATGCCTATTTGGCGGTAGTCTAGCCACTCAAATGCACTAACTATAGTCTACTTGGTTGATATTTATGGATTTGTATATCTTGTGATTTCACTGAGTAGTAGGGCAGTTTGTAGTAGGGCAGTAAGGATTCTGGATACCAGCACCTAGCACATTACCAGGGAGGAGGTCGGTTGATTGAAATGTGTGAATAATAAATTGGTGATTCGAGTGAAAAGAAAATAAGAACTTTCCAAAAGCAAATAAGCAATTCACTTAATTGACAATGTGTAAGAAGACGGAATCGAATGAATAAAATGGAGAACAAAGATGAAAATAAGATGGATAGGGAGTTGTTACCGATGTGACGAACTTTGAGAGGTGTAACAGACTCAGACTGTCGAATACGAATATGGCTAGTAGTTATTGAGTATGTGTTTTTTCAAGTCTCCTCTAAGAGCTGTCTGTTATCATTTTAGCTGGGAGAGAATTCCAAATGGGAGAAACTCTTGGTGAAAAGAAGTGAGGGTGAACCTGAGTGTCCGACCTTTGATGAAGGCTGTTTTGAGGAGCCAAGTGGTGATGATTCAGAAATATGCTCGTGTCGCGGTAGCCTGGTGTCCTTTATGTCTTGTACATCATTTGCAGGATTTATTTCAAGCTTAAGCACCTTTATGAGCCAGATATGCTGTACAGTTTGAATATGTCAAGCTGCGACAAACCGTACACTCACCTAAACTCCAGATCTCAATTTAGGATGACCTGAAATCAAGAAGTATTTAAGAGGGTCGATACTCTGTTTCTATAACAAAGCGCAGCAAAACTAAGGACCTCAAGGTCATGCAATGCCAATTTTCTTCAAGCTTGTTGTGCCCAAAGTTTCGTAATTAAATCGTTCACCTAAAATGTTTAGATCAATTTTATAGTATAGTCATTATTTACCTATTTGAGAATCTCGCGGTCTGTTATATTTTTGGCTTTCATTCAAATTTTCGGTCCGTGGTAAATGGAGTATTCCCCTTAACGCAGTTGCAGATAACAGCAGCTGTTTGCAACGAGATTTCCAATCAAAATCATAAGGTAGTAAATAAACCCTCAACATAAATAGTTTCGACATTTGATGCTGACCTCATTAGTTTTAACAGAAACATCTTAGTGAAGGCTTTTAGTCACACAACCTCAGCAGGCCATAAGTGAGTATGCCATACTATGCAGCTCTTACGACCGTTAGCCAGCTTAGATTAAACGTTTCAATTATATTTTCGAACTTCTTCATTTCTGACTTCTGATTTGATGGGGTTAGCATACTTCGATTATAGAGGTTTTACGTGTAAAGGTATTGTCAAACTCCGAATACCTGTAGCATATTTAACAATAAATTAAGTTTTCTGTTAACTTATTACGTAAATAATTTGCTGTACATATGGTCTTGATTATATTTTCATTTCAGATCACTGTATTGATTATTTTTCTGCTTTCATCCGACCTATCAGACTTTGTCTCTTAGGATATTGTAGGCTTATGGTCCATTGAGTTAGTAGTACAGAGAGAACCCTAAAAATTGCTGTAGTTTGGTACGTTTAATGTGTTATGCATAAGTTCGTGAAGTTCTATGACAGAGTTTTCGTGGTTTGCTTGTCTGATGAAAATTTCTGCTTACATGATTACTTCATTAATGAAGGAACACCTTGACCAATGGTTAGTTTCCGTGTATTTACAAGTGTTCCTACTATCGCTGCTACTATTTCTCGTTCTGTTGACGTGTTATGACATCTTGAAGTAATTCATGCTTGTCCCAGGATGTACGTTGGTCATTTTTTATCGACTTGCCATGCGGTTGACACCATATCCCCCATTATCAAGTGGCAAACAACTGTTAAAATGTAGTAATAAAAATAAAATTTGTTGCATAGCATGCCACTGAACCTGCAATTTCCTACAACGATCTGACTACTTGCGGTGTCTCTTAATTTTAAGACAAACATACGTGAAGGATCAAGTAGTCTCAGTACTTCAGAACATCCAAAATGAGCCCTAACCATGTCAAATGCTTATTCTACAAACAACGAAAACTCCACGTACAAATTATCCAAGCAAATTAGAGTACGACTTGTATTGAAAGAAGCATGAGGCTCTTTACAGATTCATGACAGCTCAGCTGTGGCATTTACGAAGTTATACTTCCACAATCCAAATGTTGCTTTCTGATTTAGTGAATTAAATACCTACTCAAAATTCAACCAGTGGCCAGAAATATTACTAGAAATAAGTGGTATGACAGTCGGATATGTGCTGACATTTAGGAAAACTTCACTCAGCCGGGAATCAACACGACGATATTCACTAACACTGCATTAGTGCTGCATATCGCCAGTTCTAATTTCATACTGTTACAAAAGCTATTTGTAAGTGGAATATGCAAATGAACAAATGTGCTGCTTTCTCTCAAATGGAGGCATGCCGTCAGCATCAATGTCTACTTTTTTGAACACCTCCGTCTACCAACGATAATCAGAATTGGTTGAAATCTTATACAAGAAAAATATTTTATGTGGGACCAAAACTAACGCAAGATTATATCGATTTTTGCTTTATGCGGAGTCGGAGAAACAACCATTAATAATAATTAAAGGTGATTTTTTGCCTTAGAGAGTAACAACTTAGGAAAAACTTAAACAGAGCTAGAAAACAAACCTAAAGAACACTAGACCTTCATTCACTTGATGTTTGATCGACTAGCTAACATATAATAATAATAATAATAATAATAATATATTTCTGCAAGGGAAATTACACGCCATTTTTACAGGCATGATCTACAAGTTACAACATATACTGATTCGCAGTATGCATCCCAAGCAGGGTTGTTTAGTGAATATAATCTATAAAAGTTGATAGCAGTTCATTCGTTCAGATATAATGTGTTTTCTTCAAAATATTTCGCAGAAGGACATCGCGTCCACATTACATACCAGATTCAATCTCGATAAAAAGTGTATTAGGGTTTCGGTCGTGCTGAGTATTTATGTAATACAGCTTTTTAAGTTTATGGTTGTTATAAAGTAGACTTGTGGAGCGCCTGGGGCGAACCATGACCTTCAGAAGGCGCGTTCGTCGAGCTTGTTCCAGATGTCAGAAGTTACATAGCTTCACCCTCAAAGCGAGGTTCCGAAGAGAACAAAAGAAAAAGAGGAGCAGAAAGGCATTTGGATATGAACGGTAGCTAATGCTTAACATTTAGTAGTGGAACAGACGGAGATATGATAAATTTTTATATCAAATTGATACTAGCTCATGCTGCTAGAATAGAATGTGATCAGGCGCTCCAGATGAGAGAGTGCAGTAATAAAGAGTAATGAGTTGTGATATTTATCAAGGTGGACTAGGTTCGAGTGAAGGAAGGTAAGTCAAGATTGAAATGAGGAAGACTGTTCATTAGGAAAGAGAGTGCATATAGAGAGTAGAGTGTTTAGTAAAACAACAACCATATCCTTCACAGTCTGTTTTTGAGTTGAAATGACACACTCATATAAAGCTGAGCTATCAAGATTAATTGTCTCTGTCATGGTAGAAAAATGCTGAGAAAAGTATAAGTTATAACCCTAAAAATCTAACATTCATATTTCAAATTGGAGCTAGTAAATAATGATCACACAGTGTGTTCTTGTAACACAGAAGATGCGCGAGAATGCCGTTTGTGACATCTAACCCCAGCACGATAGTACATCTAACATCTCTTCCGCTTTCCTTCAGGATTCCAAACTTGGGATGTAGGAATGAAGCCCTTGCTTTGTCGATCCTTGTATTTGCTTCTTCATCCGGTCTTCCTTGTTCATCAATGATGCTTCCCAGGTACGTAAAAGATTCCACATCTCACAGAGCTTGTCCATCAAGTGTGAGTGAATCGTTGTTCTCAGTTCTGTATTTGAGGATCTTGCTTTTTTCTTTGAGTACGTTGTGGCTAACCGCTGCACAGGCTGTTGCTACAATGGTTGTCTCCATCTGTATTTATTGTTATGGGTGAGGCAGAAAAGTAAGGTCATCTGCGAATTCCAAGTCGTCTAGGTGATCCCGATCTGTCTATTGTATTCCGTGCTTTCCCACATATGTCGAGGTTTTCATAATCCAATCGACAGCAAAAAGTAATAGTAAGTGGGAGAGTATGCAGTTTTGCCTGACACCGGTTTTTATTTGGAATGCATTCCACAGCTGTCCTTCATGCACGACTTTGCGATGTCTTCCGTCGTATGAGTTCTGGATGGTATCAACGATCTTCTCAAGCACACCATAGTGTCGAAGAAATTTGCAGAATGTTCTCCTGTTCATGATGTTAAACGTATTCCCATAGTCAATGAAGTTGATGTATAACAACGCATTCCACTCAACTGATTGTACAACGATGATCTGGAGTGTCGCCATTCAGTCTGCGCTTAGCCGATTCTCGCGGAATCTAGCCCGTTGATCTCGCAGTCGAACGTCTACTGCGTCTTTCATTCGGTTCAGCAATACTCAATTCAAATTTTTCCTCATACTGGGAGCAGTGTGATTTCACTGTATTTCTTACATTGCCTCAGATCTTCTCGAATAAAGTGTAAAGCATGTTCACAGTTACTTCAATATCTAGCAAATAACCAATATATTTTATCACAACATCGGAAGTATCATCAACAAAATCGCACCTTTAGAGTACTGGAGACCTAAGTTTTTAAAGATCTGTATATACCGGTCGGTACATGAAGACGTCTGCAAAGACATTTTACTCGCTTCCACAACTTTAATGACTTTTCCTCTTTAGTAACGATGACAGAAATACTTACCTGGACATAAGCAATAAGTACACAAAAAGCAGTCGAACAGGAAAAACGTGCTGTCGAACTTAGTAATAACTCCTCTGCACTCACCATACTTTTTCAAAATAAACTTAAACGTTCTAATTCGAGAGGAGACATATTTATTAAAGACAAACAAGTAAACGAAGATCCTAAACCTGTTACGGAACTACTTAATGAACACTTTTGTTCCTGATTAACTGATGAAAAAGCACTAGATGATTCTGAAGTAATCCCAGCAGCTACCTATGAAATTACTAATGTAGACTTCAATGTGCAAAACATCTCTCAGGCAATTAGTACATTGAAACACTCTCACACTGATGGACCAGATGGTATCCAGACTAGCATGCTAAAACGTGAGGTGATGCGTGTTTTATTTCTCAAACTGTTTGCGATATCACTCTCTACAGCGTGTTACCCTACTGCCTGGAAAACTACACACATCATTCCCAAATTTAAAACAGGAACTGAAGCAAATGTTGAAAATTACCGACCCATAAACATAACTTCAGTGGTATCTAGAGTGATGGAAAAAGTAGTTAAGGTGGAGGTAGTCCAACATCTAATTACTAATAATCTCATCTTTGTCTCCCAACATGGATTTCTTAGGTCCAGATCATGTGATGCATGCCTAGTAGACCACACGAATGATATAACTCTGAGACGAGACAATGGACTCCTTGTATCAGTCATATTTTAGACTTTAAGAAGGCTTTTGATAAGGTTCCACACAAAAGGCTACTAGCCAAACTACGGTCCTTCGGAATCGACAACCCCCTCTATTCATGGTTTGTTTCATTCTTAAAGGGACGTAAACAAATGGTAAAGTACAACGACTATCTCTCACTACCTAGACCAATAACTAGTGGCGTCATCCAGGGAAGTGTATAAGGCCCACTTTTGTTTCTAATGTATATAAACGATATATGTGGCATCATAAAATTTGGGAAACCATACTTATATGCTGATGATCTCAAAATAGTATACAGCTATAAACCTAAGGCTCTAAGTGGAGGTGTTTCCCTGATTCAAGATGATCTCAATAACCTAACTATCTGGAGCGAAAATGGCAATTACCATTTGACATCAACAATTGCGGGATCATATATTTTGAAAAACACCCCTATGAACTACGACTTTTTCTAAATAAAAGTAGAGTCCAGACACTCAAATTAG